GGGCGCGCATGTATGGCGTGACGAGGATTCGAACCCGCGACCCGCAGATTGCGAGTCGAGTGCCCTAACCACCTGGCCATGCCGGGCCGATTGATAATAGAACTTGATTAATGCCTCAATTACGCAACAAAAATAAAAGCTTTTGAAAAACTAACTCTGTATTGTTTTCAGCACTACAAAGGCAGTAGAATACTGTTCGTACTTTATTAAATACACTACATTAATACATACTTTCTTGACCGTAGTAATGAGTTTCGTTTATACTGCGGATCTGATAATTGTCCAAAAGCAATAAGCTATAGGTCTCTTTCTCCACACAAACACCTGCGCACACGCAATCACGCACACACACTTATATATATATATATATATATCGCATGTCATTATCGTTATCTTGATTTATTGGTTATTATTTTACTTTTTTATTACAAAGACTGTTATGAACTTGTAGCTTAAAACATATATTTAGAACTAACCTAAATCTCCTAAGCTGGTCGAACCTCGTGAGATATTGTTGGGATTAAGGCCGAAAATATTGTTAACAACGATAAGACTAATAAAACAACGCATTCTAATCTTTTACAAGCAGAAATGTAGGAAAGTATATTTAATTAGCTTTCTGACGGCCAAGTTGATTTTGAGTTCTGCTCTAAATATATAGCTCACTCTGATCAGAAATCATTATATATATATATATGCAATGAATTCAGCGACAATAATTTACTAAAGTCCTTTAAAAACTTTTTTTTCCAAAACACATATCAAAACTCGTAATGACATAAATATATCATTTTTTGAGGTATGTATGGTGATTCGGCGAAATTATATTCCGTTACTGGATCAATACGAACTGACTGAGTTTATATAATACCTTTAACACTCACCGCCTTTAAAATACATTTAAACCATTAATTTGTTGCATACTTTTGCTAAGGTATAATATTTATGAATAAACTTTCTCATGAATCGCTTTTTTTTATAGTCTATCCACTGAAATATCATCTTCTCTCTCACAAAAGTCCTTCAAGAGATTATAATACACTACTTAGGCCTCTCCTATCAGATGAGATGTACTGAAAGCTCACGGTCACGTACCATCGATCATAATAGTTTCAGATTTAAAATTTTCTGTTAATGTATTAATTCACAATTTGTCTACAGTTCAGTTTAAAAAATGTTAACGTATATAGAAAAAAAAACCGGAAGTGTTTTTTTTTATAATACCAACTATTCCAACACCTACTCTTACACCAGTGGTACAGTAGTCCAAATTCACAATATCTACAAGAGGATAACGTGTATTAAGTAGCGAGATCACTATTATCGCAATGTAGAAGCCAAAAAGTTAAGGATAGTCTCTCTCCCTCTTTTCTTTTGTAAACAATAAACATTTAAAAAATCATTTTAAATTAATCTATCAAACATCAATAACTTACCAGAAATGACTCTCTCGAGCCCTATCACCAGTGTTTGAGTACAAGTAACTTTTTCATACATACATTTTTTGTTACATCTTAAATGATACGACTGGTTCTGTGAAGATGAAAGGTGCCTAATCTATGCAATACACGTTTTACGGAATTATACATATAATTCATGACATACAGTTTATACATAGGCGATCACTGTCAAATCCGTCAAGTGCTCTAAACGTGTACACAGAGTAATGTTTTGAACACTTCAGATATTTTATGGTTAGTTAATACTTGTTTTAAAGCCTTTAACGTCTTTATTCGCTTTAAACGTTTGTACGAAGATTAGTATTTTGAACACTTCAAAAGATGTTACTGGTGAATCGTAGTTAATCAATACTCGTTTGAAAGCTTTTATATGTGTATTCGCTTTAAACGTTTGTGATCCTCGATTGATGACTTCTGAGGTTTAGAAATTCATCCGGTCATATTCATTCTGGTTGTTAAAATCGAGAACCATGACGTCTTTGACAGTGCATGAACATTCTAATAGTGCGTTATAACCAAAACCAGGTTTCACCACCAAACACATTTATGTCATATGAGATGAGGAATGCTAAATAACGATATGTCATAAGAGTCGTTTCGTTATCTGTGCTTCTTAG